TAGATGTGTGGAAGGGAAGGATACTTGCTTTGTTGAGGGAGTATGTAGAATATAGCTATTTTTGTTTGCAAAAACAAAATTCCCCAAAGAGGCTGAAAAGCAGTCAGTTTTGGGTTGTGCAGACCTGAGCAGAACTATAAAAACCCACGTGCAAAATAGTGGAAATGTACTGAGAGGATGACCCACTTCAACTCCCATTTTTGTTGTGCTGAGAATACCAGCTCTACCCTTTAGCTCCAGCTCAGGTGAAGCATTATAAGAGTGGTTGTGTCAGTTCCAAGCAGCCATGCAGACAAATGTTGGGTCTGCAGAAAATCTGAGCCCTGAGTTCAGTGTGAATGGCTCTGCTGTTCCCAAAGGGTGATAAATTTTCAGAACATTGAAAAAGTAGGTACTAAACTTGGCAACTGTTTAACAACAGAGTAAACTAGTAGATATATCTATTGAAAATTCCTTTCTATAATTACAGGCAAAATGGCAAGGTATTGGGTCATACTAAATCATTAATGTTTCTGATGAGTATTAGCATGCTAGGGGTTGAATACTTCCAATGCTGAACGTTAAAAGCCAATTTTATCTCTGTTAGAAGTGAGATACAGATGCATTTCCTTGCCTGGGTCACATGCAGCAGATAAAATATGTCAAAGGCCTCCTCACATCAGCTGAATGTTCCATTTGCTATGCTGTGCTGCCACTGCCTACAGCACAGCTCTGTCGTCAAAGATTAGTAACTTGGGTCCAAGAGCCTCTCATCGAACTCTGAGTTGAATAAAGCTGTTCTAGGCCTCAAGAGGCAAGGGAAAGTTAAAATATAGCTTATTACTGTAGCTAAAGTTTGCTTAAAAATATATTAGTCTGCTGAGAACGGGCAATGGTTTATGTTTGTTGCTGATGCGCAGTCTTTCTGACACAGTCCCTCTTCTGGGTATTGCTGTCTCTTTAGAATTCCTTTTCTTCTCTCTATATAATAGAATTTAAATAATTCAGTGTACTCAGTATTTGGTTAGATGAGGAGCATTTTATTTAACATTATGATGCATTTACATTTCTCTTTTTTCAGAAAGAAAGTTGAAAGTCTAACAACGCAACATACATAAGCAGAAAGTTATTTTCCCCCATGAAAACCCAAAAATGAGCCTGAGGAATGAGACGCATCACCAACACCTGTGTCTATTTCTTGCTCTGACACTGTTAATGCATGAACGTCATCCTTGACACAAAGGCCATGAATCTTTTTTAATAAGAGTAGCCTTGTCTGGGGAACATGTAGAAGTCTGTGGGGAGACATGGCCACAGGAGAGCTCTGTTCTTAAAAAAAACCAACTACTTTTGAAGAAGGATTAAGGTAGAATGGAATATAAACTGCTAATGTTTTGGTATGGGATTTTGATACTTAAAAAACAGACTGGAATGTGTTCTTTCTTATTTCTGAAGGCAAAGGCAGTGTGTTTGCCTTCGGGCTTTTCTTATTTTCTTCATTACCACTGTTTTAGACACAGCATGATATGTTTTTTTTGGTAGTGAGACTGGGAAAAAAAAAAGTTGCCCTTGAATTTCAAAAAACCTGGAAGAAATTTCTGGAGGCATTTTATGCAGCAAAAATGCCGTCTGCAGCAAATCTGTCTCCTGACTTGAAACTGAGATTTCTACCCAATAATTTCTTCTTCCTCTAGGGCATGTAGTGCATTTTTCTGCCTATGTAACAGTGCTGCCAGCAGTGCTCTGGGTGCTGAGTCCCATGCTCTTATGGGTCAAGCGAGCCCCAGCAGAAGGCACCTGGCTAACTGCTGCTTGCCCCACATCTTTCAGCAGCCACTCAGGTTCACTCACTGGTCACCTCCACAGCTGATCTCTTCCCAACCTCTTCACTTATTCACTCCCTCCTGACTTCCCACTGTGAATTGACGAGCCATCAGTCAAATAATTCCTTGCACCATTAAGCACTTGTCAGTTTACATCTTTCTTATTCAGTTGCTACAGCAAATGAATAGCTTGGTTTCTGGTTCTTCCTATACACAGTTCCCTCTTTTTGCAGCAAAAGCTTTTTATACCTTTCCCTTTCAGTGTTGATCAGTATACCTGTTTATCCCATATGCATCCACCTCACTTCTCTTGTGAATGATTGTTCTTCAGAATTTGTTCAGGTAAGTTTCTAGTTAATAGGTTTGTGCTACCAAAAGTTTTGGGATGATATTTTATCACGGAATGTATGCATGGAAAAGAGTAAGCATTTGCTTTTCTAATTTTCTTTGTCATAGAAAGAAGCTGGGGCTTTAGCCATTCCCAGCATTCAGGCTGGAACAGAGAAGAGGTAGGACCTGACCCTGTTGTCAGCTGATGTAACCCTGTGCAGGAGGCACATTGCCCAGTACCCAGGGGTGTGTGCACAGCTTGTCCCCAGCATTTCCCACATCCCTTGACATGCTGGCTGAATGTGGTCATCTTTTGCCCAGGAATGTTTATATATCCCCCCTTCTCTCATCCTCTGCTTGGCTGGCCAGAAGACGTGCCTCAATCACAAGGGAACCCTCATCATCCTGTCATACCAAGAAATGCTTTCATAGGGGTGGAGGATTATTTTTGAAAGTGGTTTTCCTTTTCAGTATCTGCCTTTTCTATTTCTATGCCAGGCTAGTGATGAACATTTTGAGGAATTCCCAGGGGGAACTTTAAGGAAATGGTTTATTCTATTTGCAGAAGTCCTTATTTCGTTTAAAAAACTTCCACATGCAGTCTTGTTGTCATGTCTCTTTCAATATAATCCCCCTGGGTAAAGAAATTGTTCTTCTTTCTCTCTTACTCTCTTCTTCTCCCTTCTCCATGAGTTTCCTATTTTAGCCCCTGTTAATTTGCTCTCTTATGCCCTTTTGTTATCCTTATTTACTGCCTCCCACTTTATGCAGCTACTGAAATAATTGTAGGTGTTTTAACTATTTAAAGAATTATTCTTAAATTCACCTGTGAATTATCAGTAAATTATCTGTTGGAGATTAGTGCTGGCAACAAGCACACTGGTACTGTAAAATGAAGACTTAGTTTTTGTACATTTTTTCAGATTTTAGACCATGGATACCTTATGCTGGCATGATTAAACCTCCACAGTATGTATGTAGAAGCCAGAGATAATTATCTTGCATGTTTATACAATGTGTTCAGATTTTCAGCATTTTGAGATGCAGTAGCAAAGCAAAATATTTTTCCTTTGAAGGAGTCTATATATGTTATAAAATACCCTCACTTATCAGAGACAGAAGAAACAACGATATCTTTGTACAGATGTAGAATTCCAGATCTTGGAATTAATGGTACTGGATCTAAGGAGGCATTTTATTTTCCACTTTTGTTCTGGTGGGGTAGTAGTAGCAGAAGCCAGAATATCTTGGCTTTGGAGGCTAGCTTTACCTACTAGCTAAAATCAGGACGCCAAAGGCCAAAAAGAGGTTTCTGGTAACAAAGGAACCTGAAGTCTATACAGCCCTCGGAGGTGCTGGGTGACTGTTGAGCTTTGCCTGACCTCAGCCTTGCACGCTGCTTGTGTACAAAACAGCACCTGAACAGACTGCCATTAGCTGAAAGTACCTCTTGTGGTAAGAGCAAAAAGTACCAATTTATATTTGCAGGGAAAAAAGGAGATATCTTAAACCATGGCATTGGGCAATGAAAACAAACAGCTGGCTTCAGCTTTCTGGAACTGGAACTGAAAATTCCTTTTTCTTACAGCCACAGCAAAATGAGGCCCAATCTTTTTTTTTTTCTTTATTTTAAATATGATGGAAAGAGATCTACTTAGACTGCAATGTTTGCTGCAGTAGTAAGAGGCTGCATTATTTCAGGCTCCCAAACCAAGCTATTGTATTCCATGTATGGATCCAAAAAAGTTCTGGATTTTTTCCTTTCTCTTCCTTCCCCTTCCTTGTTTCTTTGTTTGTCCCATTTTTTTCTGCAGGTATCTTAATGTATCTGTTGATCATCAGCATTTATCTCACTACATATAGGATGTGTGAGAGGATTCTGGGAAAGTCACTGTTTTCTGCAGGTATCTTAATGTATCTGTTGATCATCAGCATTTATGTCTCACTACATATAGGATGTCCAAGAGGATTCTGGGAAAGTCACTAGATGATGTCTTGCTCTTTAGCACTAACTTGAAGAGCTTTTCTGTGCAAAAGATCTCTCATATTTTATTTCCTCCAGCTTCTGTTTCTGGGATATAGTAATTTCAGCATGTAGGATACTAAATGCTAGCTTGAAACTTCTGTAACTCCTCTTTCTCTAGGAGACGCAACAATTCCTGCTTTCTTCAGTATTAGGCAGTGTACCTTGAGAGGCTCATCCTGCTGTTGCCTGCCTCAAAGGGGCTGCACCAAAATGAAACAGAACGTCTTGTAGCCAGAACAAGGAAGAAGAGAGACCTGAATATCCTCTCTTAAGCTGTTGCTATGACGGTGTGATCTCTGAGGGAGGATACTTTAAGTCATTCTTGAACTGACTAGAAGGAAATCTGACCTGATCTTCTTTCAGAGAGGAATATAAGAAGAATAATAAAGCAGAAAGGGTTGAAAATACTTTCTATTAATTGGCATGGAAATTAACAGATATAGATCTTTCCCCTTAATGATTCTACTAAAACTCACTTGAAAACAGGAGGTAGGATGTCTATTTTATTTTTAAAATAATATTTTATTGAAGACCTGCGTGGAAATTTTTGTGTAATTGGCTCAGTTCCAATTGCAAGATACTTAAATTTGTGAGTTACTGGACTCCATTATGGGTTGGGGTATCACATTGTACTGCAGCTGTAGCATCTGTTGTGTTTGATGCACATACAATCATAAGACTCAGGATTGTGATGCTCTTGGGCAGAGCTCATAAATTTACTCATAATCTAACCTTCACTTTTTTTTCATGTCACACTACAGGAGCAAGCTCAATTATTCAACATATTCCCCTTTTTTAAATTGCATACTTGCTGATGTTTCATATGCTTAACTCTCTTCTAGGAGGAAAATTCTTCCAGCAGTGGAACAGATTCCCTAAGCAGTGGAGAGATTCCACGAAGCCGGTCAGAGGGGACTTTGATTGATGTGGATGACCGGACACCTTCAGACACCTACAGTATGGCTCTTCTGCTATTTTCTGTGCTAAGGCTCTCCAGCTAAAGTCTTTATTTCTGCAAAACTCTGGGTCAGGCAGGTTGTGAGGAAGAGCTGAAATCCTTAATGTTACATTAACAAATGCTACTGAGTAAGTTTACTGGGGGTCAGGGTGGAGAAGAGAGGACGAAGTTCTTAGCCAAACTAGATTAATTTAGGGTTTTAAGAGCATGAAGGTGGGTCAATTTTGAAGTTAGCTCAATTTAAAAATTGGAGTCTTGGCAAAGTTGATTTAATCTCCTTGCTATTTTAACCCCAAAGTTGAGAAAATTTTGCCCTCCACAAGGTAGGCGTTCTCTTAGCTTCGTGTCCAGTAGCAGATATAACAGCAAGCTTGGCACTTGCTGTGTAAGTTGTGGAGCAGGAATTATTTCTTTGCTGACATGCTGCACCCCAGTAATTGTGCTGTTGTGCTTTCTCATGCTCTTGGCATGAGAAAGCGTCTGTCCTAGTGACTCAGGCGCTGACAGAGTCCTCTGCTTATATTTTTCCTGTAGAAACATGCCCTTTAGGATGGGGAAAAACCTCAAACAAAACCCTTATGTTTATTTTGGGCTTAATTAATCTATAATTTTAACATGCAGTACTGATCTTACTGTAATAACATCACAGCACAAGGAAAGATTTTGGCCTATGGGCCAAATCTTTTCAGTGGTGCTTGAACAGCATGTCTCTCTCTGGTGACCCTGGTTAAAAGAAAGTGCTCGAGGAAGAGGAGGCTGCCACAGGGCTCAATCCCCCTGGCAGCTCACCTGGAAGGTTTTTGTCAAGACAATATTAGAGCTTTGTAGATAGGCAGCTGGCAAACCGGTAAATTCCACCTTGGTTCTTCCAAACTGGGAATTTTCTGGAACCATGGAAAGATGTCAAGATGTCACAGTTTTGGCTTTTTATTACAATTTGAAATAGGAAACAACAAGAGAAGTTCTATATTTTTTTTATATTTTTAAAAATTTTTTAGTTTTTGTGGCTGTATGCACTGTCATGCTTGCATTTTTGAGCAGTATAGATTAACCTTAGAAATGGAAAGTACTATGGAAGGTGTAATAATGTAAGCTATGGATATGGTGAAAAAATTAGAAATAATGCCTCTAAAATTTAAACTCTTTGCAAGAATATATAAAGAAGGGATGGTATAGCCTGTATATATAGAAAAAATGGCAAAATGAAGTAATAGAAACCCTTAGCACAAAAAGTTGCAGATATTCCTTTGCAAGAAGGGTGAGTTGCAATCAACTGTAAACCAGCTTCTCTGAACAATTCTTAATATAAAATGTAAGGATATCTCTTCTTCAGAAAAAATAAGTATTACTGCTAATAATGAGCATTTTTATTAAAACATATTATTATTTACATATGTTTTTATTAAAACATATATAAATATCACTTATGCATCACTTATGGATTTGTCTATTTAAATGCAATCTTAGAAAATTAGTAGTCACACAAACATTTCTCTCCAAACTTCAAGTTGGGCAAAGTCTCATAAATTATATCAATGATTGGTTTCTTATGGAAGGCTAGCATTAAAAATTCCACACACACACAGATAAATTGTAAGAGTGCTGTTATCAATTAAATGCACATGCACTAACATGAAAAGGAATCTTGAATAGTGCATTTATCTGTACAGTCTGTGGTGTTTGAAAAATGAAACTGTAGTTGTTTAATCTTTGCAAAGAGACAGACACAAAGGAAAGAAGCCCACAGCGTTTCGTAAGAGTCCAAAGATTAATGGAATATAATGGTTTGAACCTTATGGAACTTTATAATTCTCTTTGCCAGTTAATAATCACACGAGTTGATAATGATCAACATCTCAAAGAAGATGCTTTACATCCTTCAACACCAATTTGTTTTTCAGCACTAATTTGTTAGCAGTCTTTCTGTTAAGTAGGATTCTTAATTAAAGCAACATTGATACTGTTTAAAAACAAGAAGGAGAAATACAGAAATTATATATGTGTATTTGAGCAAGAAAATTTAATCACCTCTTAGTCTAACAAACTATCAGTTGGACATGAATGGAACATCTCAAGTCTCTGTGCTTCAGGAAATGCTTCTTTTTTCTCTTAAACAGATGCCAATGAAAGTAAACTGGATTTGGATATTGACTGGCCTGGTGTATTCAAACATGCCCAATCTGTTTCCAAGACTAATCCTTTCTGGAATGAACTGTCAGGATCCAACCCTTTTGTACATGACATAGCTGCTTCCAATAGAAATGAAAATAATAAGCGTCTTTCCATCTTAAAGGAAAAATCTTATTTGTTCTCTAAGATTTCAAGCAATAGGGACTCTTTGGATTCCTCAGGTGATGAGCTAGATATTGACTGCCTCCTGAGAAAGACTTCAACAAGAAGATCTGGACGATCCAAAAGTGTCTCTGACTTCCTGGATATAGTTGATAACCAAAGATTTAATCCTCACAAGACAGACCTTCAAAAAACTACAGCTTCTGATATGATATGGCTTCAGAATGACCGTGAAGCGTACAAGATGGCTTGGCTGAGCCACCGACAGCTCACCCGGTCCTGCCTGGATTTAGAGGCCATGAGCCACAGCCCTGGGTGGGCACAAACACAAGCTACAGACATTCATGTAGTTTGTAAACTGAGTCATGAAGGGGGCTCAGTACAGCTACCTGACTCAGATATCAACATTCATGTCCCTGTGGGTCATGTATTACCAGGAGAATTCCAAGAAGTTGGTTTAAAGGCAATCCTTAACCCTCCATTGTCATGCAACAATGAGCTGTCCAGCACAGTAAGCCCTCTGATAGAACTTACACTGAGCAACCTCAACACAAGCGAAGCCATTTTCCTAGAAGTGAAAGTTGCAGCTAAAGTGAAGAGTGATCCACTCAGCCAAGTTATGAGTGATATTGTGTGTTTTTTTAGTCTCAACAAAGAAGGACCTTTTAAGAAACTAGAGAATTGCTATATTTATCAAGACACCATACAAGTGAAGCTAACGGACCTAAGTCATGTGATGTATGCAGTGATTGCCGTACAAGCAAGCAAAATCCAGCCTCCAGCAACTAATGTGTGGGACTATGTCCATAGAACAGTCTCAGTTGGAATTTACGGTCCCAAATATATTCATCCATCTTTTACAGCAGTTCTTACAGTCTTTGGTCATAACTACATTCCAGGAAAACTCACGATTTGTGATATAAAAAAAGGGGGGAAAAGTATGCCTCCTGTGGTGTTTCAGCTGTGGGGAAAGCATACATTTCTGCTTGAAAAACCACAAGACCTAAACATTTCTTTGATATCCTGTGATCCAGACTTTCAAGTAAAAATGGAAGATCAAAGCAAATATATTAAAAAGGAGGAGTTGAAAACTGGTGAAATGGTCCGCCAACAATTCCTGTTTTCCATGCTTGGATGCAGGGAGATGCATTTCTTTGTTTTCCTTGTTCAGATTAAGATCTTGAAAAGTAGCCAAGTAACACAGTTCCATGTTACGACTCCTGATCCAGCTCCAAAATTAAGTGGAATTATTAATAGGCCAAAGCGCCTACAAAGCCGCAAAGAAATCAAGTCTGCGCCATGGCTTTTGATACCAACAATAAACTATCCAAAGTTTCAAGACAAAACTTTGAGTGTCAATACTTATGGAGTGGCTTTGAAAACTGTGTTACGTCAGAATAAGATTGACTATTTGCTGGAATATTTTAAAGGAGACACAATAGCACTGCTTGGTGAAGACAAAGTTAAAGCCATTGGACAAACTAAAATCAAAGAGTGGTATGTGGGAGTTCTCAGAAGAAAGATTGGTCTTGTACATTGCAAAAACATTAAAGTTATTTCTAAAGAACAAGCTATGAACATTGCTGATAGTGAGCTAACAACCAGGAATCTTGTTGAACAAATTGCATTGCCATTCAAAAAACTGACTTATATCTACTCAGTAGTTCTGTCTACAGTATCAGAGAGTGTTTATGACTGGAGAGCTTTAGCTGAGGTGTTGGGATACTCACATATGTCTTTGGATGACTTTAATGAGGCACATATTGATAAGGAATCAGAAAGAGTTGCGCATGTTGTGAAAAAGATGAAGCAAGACTGCCATGCTAACAAAAAAAAAAGACTATTTCTTTATGAACTCATTGTTGTAAGTATTGCATGAGCTAACTGGCTTGTTGGGAATGTATTGACAAGAAACTACTCATTAGTAATGTAGAAATAAGATAACATGGTTTTGTATCCTTGCAGGATCTTTATTAACCTGAATATATTACTAAAAGTTATAGTGGAATATATTTGGATGTATTTTCCAATAGGTGGAAAATACATCCAAACTCTCATGAAGAATAATACTTTGATCAATTAATTCTGAACAGTCTTCTGTTAATTTTGCATGAACTGTCTTCATTTAGTAGGCTGACTAAGATGACTTTTCTGGTTTTTAAATAACCATGATTGAAATTGTTTTGTCATTTGTCTTGGTAAATTGCTTTCCTGAGAAATTCACATTCCTGTTGTGAAGTATTAAGTAACATTACTATACTGTGGGAATTCTACCATACATACATAGACATAGATAGATAGAATCTATATATCTATATGCCTTTATCTATATGTTTATATCTGTGTATATATACATAGATATCTGTCTATGATAAGTTGTGTCTAGCTTATCTTTCTATGATTAAAAGGGACATCTCAATTCAAATGTTGAGGGCAAGATTTTCTATCCACACCTTACTACTTCATAGTCAATGCTGTAGTGGCCTAAGAAGGATATTATAAGTATTTCAGTGTGTATTTTCATGGAACTAATTTGTAAGCTGTTGGACAACTTCCATGTGACTAAATGCTGACAAATGTGAATCAAGAGTTTATTCTAATTACTTCCAGGTAATAAGTCGTACTGTTAACAATCCTAATTTACTTACTGATCTGTGTGCAAATTAATTTGAAATTAATGGTCACTTAATACTCTCCTTGGCTCTTACAGAAAAGTTGACCAACCTATTAAGATACAGAAGATAATTAAATTTCTGATATGAAAATAAAATATTACAAAAATGGATGTTTAAAAACTCACACTGTAGCTATTCATCTAAAGCCTTTTGACTATCCTGAACTGTAAACCTCAGCTGAGTTTACTTCTCAAAACTAGTCCATCCCCTTTGAAGTGTTGACAGAAATTTCAGCAGGATTCAGAAAGTTTTGGTTACAGTGGCCATTTACAATTCTTAAGAGCACATCAAACTTTGTGCAATAAATCTGAGCCAGTATGACGTACAGCAAAGTCTGTCATGTCTCTTTACATAAAGGAGAGGGTGTCCTAAAAATGGTTAAAATTGTCCAAAATTTTAACTGAATAGAGGGAAACACAGTTCATTACAAAAATGGCAAAAAGTGGAGCATAATTAAATTAAGCTTACAGAATCATAGAGTAGCTTGGGTTGGAAAGGACCTTAAAGATCATCTCATTCCAACCACCCTGTCATGGGCAGGACACCTTTCACTAGCCCGCATTGCTCAGTGTTCTGTTTTGTGAGATTTATGCATTTTTGCTAAGATGTGCCAATACAGGTTCTTGTCTGTGTAGAGCTAGATATAAGTCTAGATGTCATCCATATAAATTTTCTACCCAAAAATTTTGGGTAGAATTTCCAGTTACTTCTTTTAAGAAATCTCAATTTTTTGTTTTTTATAGGGTTCGTGCTTATCAGAGCAAGAACAAATTGAACAACTTTGTCTCCATTTTAGGAGAATTTTGTGCAATACCCGTTACTCTGTCTACCAAAGTTATATTGTTTGCTGTGAGGATTTTACTGGTTAATACTTTAAAATTTAATCACATGTATGTCTGATTTCTGCAGAAATGCTTGATATTTCAGTAAAAATCAGTACCAAAAACAAGGAAAATTTCTGTGTTTTGCTCTTGATCTTTCCCTGAAAACCTCAACAGTGTCAGTGGAATATTTTGGTGTTAATTGAGAAGGAAAAAAACCCAACATTTATTTTTCCCACTAGCTGTTCTCCGAACAAATAAAGAAAAATGCAACATATCTACATTTCAAGGTTATACTCCTTCAACGATTTTAATTTAAGTGTCTTTAAATGCTCTTTTGGCAAGGAAGAAAGAAAGGTTTAATATTTGCATTTCTCCTTAATGGTCAAAAAATTATTAGTTCTATGGGAGGAGTAAATCAAAAGATGCTGGCCAATGTGTAATTTTCCAAATAAAGCCCTAGATTAACGACCACACCTTAGTATAATAGTGCTGTAACTTAATTTTGAAGTTTCATGTCATACTTCTGAGAAGATAATTTTTTTTTGTCCCAAATATTTTTGTTGGAGAAGTATGATTTCTTTCAGGATCTGTAAGCTTGGCAGGACCCACTTGACACTGGAATGCTGAAGCAGCTGAATGCCAACTTGATTTTTTTTCTAAAGCTCATGGGCACTTTTTCTCTGAAAGTGTTGGCAGCACCATTTTGTAGAAAAAAACCCCACATATTTGTAAGAACACAAAAGTAAAAAAAGTCTTCCTGTTTATGTAGAGATACATAAAAATGCTATAAAATTAAATTTAAATGTTCGGTTTGTAATTACTGGTGAAGGATCACTAATGCAAATCATTGTTGCAGGCACTTTTGAAAATAGATTGCCAGGGATTAGTGGCACGTCTTACCCAGGACACCATCATCCTGACTTCAGCTGTGAAGCTTGGCAAAAGCTGGCGGGAGCTTGCAGAGAAACTAGCCCGCCTCACAAAGCAGCAAATAGAGGCTTATGAAGCACCCCACCACGGGAAAAATGGAGAAGTAGCTCTGGAGGTAAGGGGCTGGTGTAACAGTGCATGGACATTTCCTCCTCTGCACAAACACAGCCAGGGACCTTCCTCCTTCCTGGTTTTGCAGGCTTGTTTCCTTTTGCACTGATCAGTGAAGTTCTCAGTTCATGTCTTGAGCTTCAGGGCTAGGTTCAATCCTTTTTTTGTTGTCCACTTGTTAACCTCACTCTCACCTCTGCTGCTGTTTCAGACACAGTGAGGAGGACCAGCCGGTCCTTGCAGGAGCCACTTCTAATCACACTCTGCACAGCTTTTGCTTTTTCCACATAAAAGGAGCTGAGTTCTATCATTAATACTTTTCTGTGCCAGTGTAACTTTTTTATCATTTAGCTTAAGTAGCATGAGAAGAGGTTGGAAGCCCTGACACCAATTTTACTCCTGATATATGAATGTGGCAAATCTATGCTTTAAGTTTATAGTTTGTCATGGAGATCATGATTTTTTTTCTTTGTAAAGCATTTTTCTTGTACAGAAATTTGAACTTTGTAAAAGTCAATTTCTCCTCTCAGATGTATTTTAGTGCATACAGATCTAAGGAGCAATTTAGGTGCCTAACTAAATCTCTAGTGCCATTTGAGGTGACCAGAGGTACTTGTGGCATCTATGCAATGTTAGATATGTCACAAGACTTGGGGTGGACACTTGTCCACATTTCTGAGCTGAGGGTCAGCCTTTGCTCCTGGCACACTTTTCCCTAGGCAACCAAGTTACTTCCTGCCCTTCTCTCCTCTAACACCAAAGCATGCAGTAGCTCCATTCTTTCCCACAGAGTTATGTGCCAATGACTTCCAGACTGGTTTTTACTCTGAAAATCCCTTTCTTATGAGCATTGATAAATGATCTTTCTGACTTGACAACTTACATTCAGTCTTGACTCTCCCTCTGCCTATACCATCATCTCCTGATTATTGCAGGAAACGTACATCATACAGACTGCATTCCCTCTTCCTCACCTCTTAGTGCCAAAGGATTTGCTATTTCCCATTCGCAGGTTCACAACTCAAGTTATTTTTTTCTTTGTTTTTCTATTTTCCTGTAGCTGATTCTACTTATTCCCTGCCAAATCTTTCTTGTCCATTACTTTCCACTATCTGAATCCAGTGCATCTGTCATCTTGTTTTCATTTGCTTGGTGATAACTATCAAGATATTTCGCTCCAATCATGAACTACTACCACCTCTTATTCCTTTTGAATGCTCTGTCCTCCCTCCCTCCTTCCCCAATCAATATTTGATCAAAGTTCTACATGTTTGCTCATGTGCTTCAGCACTTTTCAACAAAATTATCTCCATAATTGCATAATTGTTGTTTGCAATCACTGCCTCCTTCTCAGATCCAGTTTTTCTCTTTGAGCTACTTTGTGTATTTTTTGTTTTCTTTTCTGGGTACTTCAGTCTGAATGTACCTTCCTCCAATTTTTTTCTCATAAAATTATCAGCCTTTCCAATCCCACGTCTACTCTCTTGTTTTTTTTTTTCTCTTTTACTGTTAGGCAGTGGCTTGTCTGATTTCCTGCACTTTTGTTCTAGTTACTAAGCTTTCTGTGTTTGACTAACAAACCCCCAGCTTTCTACAGAAGGAATTATTGACATGAACAATATACAACTCTGCTGATCTCCATGTTATTTGGGAATGTTTCCCCTTTGCTGATAGACAGTAGAAATAAAACAGTCTTATAACTGTTTTCCCAGCATCATGCCTATTTATTTTTATATTAAGAAAATTTTTAAATAAACACTTTACTTTGAATGGGTTTTGATTTTCCATGAAGCCCATCTTCTACGCCATACACTCTACTCATTTGTTTTCAAGAGTTTTTTGTATTTTTTTTATGGCAAACCGCCCATAAAATTCTCTGCCTTTCAGTGACAATGTCTGCTGACAAAACATAGTGCATTCAAATTCATCATAATTAGAAGTCTATAATACAGTACACTCTATTTTTTTAGAGAACATTCAACAAGCAATCAAAGATCAGAATTTTCAGTGTCTTTTCTCAAAGATTATATTTGGCCTATGGAGGACTTATTGGTTTTGGGAGAACTTTTTAATTGTGCTTGTTCACATGGGTGTGCATTCAGAGCATAAGGTTTCTAGCACTGGTGTCTTGTGTGATCACTCAGTACCCTTCATGTCCTCTGAATCTGACCTAAATTTCAGTATTTTCTGTGGATATCAATGCTTTCTTCTGACCTCCAACTTTTCTATTGATAGTAGTTTTTGGCCTTAAAACCTGAAACATGAGGTTAATAAGTTTTGACTAGTTATTGAGAATTATATGAAAACATTAACTAGTGCATTCCCCACCAAGGATTGTTCCATCATCAGGAGGATTGATGGCTTAAAAAATGTTTCTGATTTTAAACTTCATATTTTTCTTGGTGGGAGAAATCTTGCAGATGATCACAGCAGCAATTTGAGGTACCTACAATTGGTGCATAAATTATTAAGTAGTTTTCATTAGTAAATTCCAAATAATTTTGTGGTGGATATAGGCATCGTTATTGCATACTCAGCAGAGAGACAGGGAAAGAGGGAAAACTCATGCACACAGCTGAGATGAGACTTGACCAGGATGCTGCAGTGATTGAAGATTTTGCCTGAGATTCTGGTTTGATACAATTCAGGAACTTTGAATGCAATTCAGTTCACCTATTGCGTTAGAGTACGTGGATGTGGAGAAGAATCTGCCTGAGAACCACTGCTGTGTTTGCAGTACTAGTTTAATGTGATGAGTGTGTAGATTATTGCTGAGTTAACTGAATCAATGGTGACCAGTTTGTAAAGCTTTTGTTCCCTGCCTTCTCCTTTTTCTTCTTTTTCTTTCCTTTTCTTTTGTCTTAGATTAAAAAAACCTAAAACCAAAAACTGTTGTGCATAATTAGAGGAAACCAAGGTTTGTGTTTAAGGATATTTCAGCCAATTGTCTTATTACTTATTAAAAGTCAGACTGACCTTCAGCATAAGTCAAAGCATAACATCTTTTCCTATTTGTAGTTTTTGCACATTCTAGTGAAGACAGAAGACTGTACCCTCATTCTCTAAATATCCCGGTTTAACAGGAATGTAAGAAAATGAAGAAAGAGACCCAGAAAGAGCATAGTTACACAATATCAGGAGATACCAGCTTCTCTTGTTGGCTACTTTGGCTATCAAGCTAAAAATAAGAATACTGAAAATTTCTGGTCCCAACATAAATACAACAGTAGTGAATTGCTTTAGTTCAGTAAAATATATTATAATATATAATATATACAGTACTATAACTGTATATATTATATATTTATATATATTAAAAACTATTTTCAACTTAGGTTCCCTAAAAAGCCCCAAAAGAATTCATCAATCTCCCTCTTCCCACCTACCACCAATGTACTTTTCTCCTTCTGTAACCTTATGGTTATGACTTAAGATAGATTTGCTTAAAGGAAAAATTAGGCACCATTCATTTGGAAAAATGATGATCCCTTTCTCTCCTGTAGACCTAAAATGAGAAAATTCACTGAAAGCACAAGCAATTTTTTATTACTTAAACTCAAGGTAGAAACTAGACTAATCAGACTATGAGACATTAAGTTTAGACTAGACTAGACTAATGAGACTATGGGGCTGTAAGTCTAATGTTTTTGGGGTTTTTTTCCATTTGTGTATGGGAGCAGAATTTGACGGAAATGTTTACAGAAACAAATGACAGAATCTGTCTTGGGTAAGCTGCTTTTCTCCAAAAATATGGAGAAAAGTACAGAACTATGAGCAAAGAAATTCTCCTCCTACTCACTTCCTCCAGGGATCAAGTAAATAAAGCTTAAATTAAAGAAGTAAAGCTTTATGTTGTGTACTGTTTGTAAATTAATAAGATAATATTGAGGAAATAACCAATTTCCTTCAGAATTATCCTTCAGAACCATAAAAACTGGGGGTTTTTTGATAAAAGAGGAAAAGATGCTAAAAAAACCCTCCATTTCCAGATCACTTGTGTGTGTATAAATGTGCAGCCATCAGTCCATATACATTTATTACTATGCATAAGTATGTTCCTGTTAAAACAGTGAATGACAGAACCTTTTAGGAGAGTCATGGATTTCTTTGTGGATTTGTGCATCATCCCTGCAACTGTTAACTTAATTGTTGTTTGCAAAACCTTTATTGCCAATGAGGAGAGGGAAACAAGAATTTTGATTGCCCAAGTAACATTTGGGCAATGAAATGGAAAAGCAGAACCTGGAAAAATAATTATTTCATTTGTTAACTGAGCAAATTCACTCAGCGCTTTGAAAGATAAAAGTCCAGATTGGTATCTGAATCATGCTGCTATAACTTCATTATGTCATTAGACCAGTGACAAATTACACCTGCTAAGGATCTGCTCCATTTGTTTGACATAAAGGAAATAAATTGTAGTTTGAAAAACAAAAAAAGCACTGGTAACCTATCTTTTAATTTCCTTTCTTTCTGGCAGGAAAATTTTAAAATGTTATGTCTTGATTTAAAAAATTATAAAAGCCTTTGACTTGCCTGTTTTAGAGTGTTTCGGTGCTTTCCTCCTGCTTTTTAAAAACAGATTTTACAGATAAATCATGCTAGAACCACAGGATCATTGAGGTTGCAAAAGACCTCTAAGATCAGCTAGTCAGATTATCCAGTGAACTCAGCAGTGCCAAGTCTACCACTAAACCATGTCTCTAAGTACCTACATGTGATTTAAATATCTCCAGGGATGGGAACTCAACCACTTCTCTGGGCAGCCTGTTCCAATGCTTAACCTACCTGTTTCCTAATATCCAATCTAAATTAATTAGGGGGACTTCATTCTGCTCCCCATCCTTCTTTTCCAGCTCAGTGGAATGGATACCCAGAGAGCAGCTGGTCTGGGTATTTCATCCTGAGGCAAGGAAGATATTAGGTACCTCAACCTTTCCCTCATCCTTTGCCACAGTGTTGCCCCCTGTATCTAATAAAGGTTGGAGATTCTCCTTAGCCTGAGGATGCTGACGTCTTTTTAGAAGCATCTTTTATTGTCTTTTACGACAGTAGCCAGATAAAATTTCTGCTGCTGTTGTCAGAAAACATTTCTGAAAGGCAAAAAGCATGTTTAAAATTTCCAGGCTGAGTAGAGGGACAGTAGGATGTTGATTAATGGGGCAGTAACCATCAGAAGCACAATCAAACAGGAAAACTGCTGCTGGGTTGTCTTGGTTTGAAAAGACAGCTGGCCCCTAAGGAAGGCAGGAGCCTTCCTTGAAATGGAAAATATAAACCCCCTCTTTGAAATTAAGAGGCTCTCAGGCAAAGATATGGGAATAGGAATAACAGTTCTTTATGAGGAAAATGTAAAATACCAATGTAATAGCACAAAAAAGAAAATAAACCACGGACACAGTCAGAATATGACCTGACATCCTGTGGGTCAGGATATTGGTAGCAGTCCTGATTAAATGGTGGCTGCAGTCCTCCTGCAGTGACAGGTATGGTTCTGTTGGAGCAGTCATCTTCTAGAAGGGTGTAGTTTTGCTCTGAAGGTCCAGTGGTGGTGTAGATGGGCCTGGTCTTCCTCTGGGAATCCAGTGGAGAAGAAAGCTGGTCTTCTTGGAATCCGGTGAGAAAAAGCCGTCTCTGGTGGTCCAAATCTCTGATTATATCCAGTTGGGAATGCTTGGCTCCTCCCTCTGGGCGGAGCTTCTCACAATGGGATGATGTAATTTTGTCAGTCATTCAGTGAGACTCAATGGCCCATTAAAAGAAGATATCTCCTGGGAGGGAGGATTGGTTGTAGAAGAGATAAAGAAAACCACCCAATTAACAGAAGAAAACTGCCGTATCTCTAACAGATGGCAAACAGAATACACACCCCCAACCTAAGACATGGGTGTACGCATTGCAAAAGATGAAAAGTATTTTCCTTCCACTCTTGTTTTTTGACTTATAGTTTCAGACAAGGATGTATTTTGACGTGGTGATACTCATCTGAATGAAGAATTTATCTTATTTACCTCTCTGAGAATATGAGAGTTTCATAAAAATAATGTAAATAAGATTACTGGAGTTTTTATATCAACATGCCTCTTTTTACAAACCATTTCAACATGCCCAGTGGTTAAACACTTATTTTCTCTTTCCTTTTCTATGACTTTTCAACTATTTAGCTATTTTTTTTTTTCTCAAGAATTAAATTTCTGCCACTAATATATTTTTTTACTTTATTTTCAGATGATGTGGAAACCTGCATATGACTTTCTCTACACTTGGGCTGCCCATTATGGAGATGGTTACAGAGATGTCTTACAAGACCTGCAATCAGCCTTGGATAAAATGAAAAACCCAGTAACAAAACAGTGGCGAGAGTTAACTGGAGCTCTGATTCTTGTGAATTGCATGGAGGTGTTAAGAGCAAGTGCCTTCTCCAAAATGGAGGAAGAGTAATGGACAAAATATGTTTTTTGGAAAATCTGTTAGGAAACTATACCTCTGTGTAGAGTTTATTCAGAGACACTTGTAGAGCATGACAGAATGAAGTTTGTTTTAACTGAGCTGATGTAGGGTCTAGCCCTATGGTTCTCAACTACAGATTGCCAGAGCATGGTAGTGCTTCTGAGTAAATAAGAAAAGAATGAGGAATTAAACTAATGAAGTCAACAAAAATTACTTGTATTCTATTAAAAGGAGCTGTTTCTGATTGCACTGACTTCTAGGCAGAGATCAGTTTTAAAAACAGAACTATTCAAGGATGAGTTCAGCATGTGGAGCCTAGGTTTACATTGTTTTCAGTGAAGTATTAAAATCTAACTATTTAATACATTTAATATTCGGTGCTGAAACCCCTCAACTCTAATTCAGTGAGTGTAGGTTAGCCTACAGAAAAACGTTTAAGATTCTTTCATCCTCATCTGAGACAAAACTAATCTAATTGTCTCACCACACAGGAATTCAACAGTTCCTGGAAAAATAGGTGTGTGCTGCACACACTCAAAAAATAGGTGTGTGCTGCACTTTTCCAAAACAGCTGGTATCTATTTTAAAAACTCAAGAGAGACAGAAGATAAAATCTCAAAAGTATTTGGTTTGGATTTATTTGTTGATGTAACTCAACAGGGTTTTGTCTCTTTTCATATTTTTGTTAGTTTAAATTTCTGCAATTTTTTGCTACATTCTGCTGAATGGAAATTCCAGAAAATTCCAGAAGCATTCTTTATGCACACTGTCCATCCCTCTGATCATTTGTGTAGTCCTTTCCTGTTGCTTGTAGGTAAGTACATAGGGGAAGGAGACTTTGTAGGTACAAGGACTGGAAACTATTTATACCCGCATCTGATGGTTTTCTTCTACCTCACTGGATATGGAAGGTATTATTTTCTCACTGTTATTTTTTCCAAAAAAGTTAACAGTGGAGTGCTTTTAAGATTAATATATTTATGGAGCAATTAATTGCAACTAGTCATATGTTCTAAAAAAGAACCCTGCTTAGTTGCTATCAGTAAAAATCTTCCAATAACTGAGTAGCTTATTATAAGTACAGAAAATACAGGTTGAATAATAGTTACAGGCTGGCCAAATTTTTTAATATAATTTTTAATGTATTAAATATATTCTTAGTTAAGTGGTAGATCCAAAAGGTAAAATCCATTTTGAGCTCCTTTGATCTACATTCATTCAGGAACATCAGCAAATACTCAAGACAACCAGTTGAAAAGAGAATTGGCATTCTGCCATCACTTGTGGTTGACAAGACACAGCCAAATTCTTTCAGGAGTAGCACAAAATAGCACTTCAGTCCAGAAACTGCGCTTCCTCTGTTGTCTTAGCTCATTTATATTAAGGGAGGTTTTTCCATTCTGAAATAAAACTACATTCAAACATTTTTCTTCCCCTCTCCTTTCCTCTAACCTTTTTCTTTTCTACTTTCATTAAGCTTTCCCAAAGTACCCATTGCTCAGGAAGGAGGCTGAGGAAGGAGTAGTTGCCTGAATAATAGGTAAATTCATTCACCAGAAGGTCCTCTAGCATCAGGGTGTTTACTGAATTAGCATACATGTAAATTATCTGCCTTCAGAGAACTTACCTTTGATTTGCAAGACAGTGAAGACTTCAGTCCATGGAACACTATCTGCTATTGCTGATCAAGGAAAGGTGGAGAAAAAGGAGTCAGATTATCAAAGCTCCCCGTTGTTTCAGGTGCCAGCACCGATTTTATATCTTTAAGAAGCTGCTGTAGAGAAAATATAAATTTCTCTTGTGATCTGCACTTCAGTGCAGAGCCAGCTTGTCCTTCCTTCTGCAGTAGTGATTCCCCCAAAAAATGAGAGAGTAGGTTGTCTTACTCTTTTGTGCTGCTAGGTAAGGAAAAGGTGTAAAATATATTAACAGAGATCTTTAAGGGTAAAAAGACACATGTAAATATTGGAATATAAAATATTAAGAACTAATATGAATTTTTTATGTTTCTCAGACTGCTTCTGCTTCTACCTTAGACCCTGTTTGTAGCAGATTGTGCAACCTGAACAGGATTTTTAGTGGTGCAAGAGGCCACATACAAATTGACTTAAAACCTCAGGGAAATATGTTTTTTTGGTCCCTCAGAGCTGAAACACCAGAGGAGATCACAAAGCAAATCTTTCAGCTTCACTAGGTTGTCTTACTATCTGCTTTTCCTGCATCCCAGCAGGCCATGCTCCCTTGCTTAAAGCCTTGTTAAGTGAATTTTTAAAACTTTTTTCCTTTCACTTTTTTCTCTCTTTTTTAACTTTCCTGTTATGGCTAAGCAGCTCAGCTTGCATCTGTTTCTGAAGATGAGTCTGTGCTTCCATCCTTTTTTTCCACATCTTAATTTCTTATCTTTAGTAAATGTGTGTTTGCTTTCTTTTTCAAAAGGACATGTACTAATTTCTTTGTTCAGTCCTGCATTTTTCTGTTATGAATACTAGACAAAAGAATGGAAAAAGCTACCAGAAGCACCAATTCCTAATGGCACAAGTCTGCCAAATATCATATATAAAGGACAAGTTGCCCAAAGCCATTGAAGCTGCAGGAAAATCCATCCCAAGAAGATAGTCAGTGGTCATGGTCTCAGGAAGAGAAGGGCCCAGGGACCAGAGGCTGTTGCCTGTAACTCTCATGGCCAGGCCCTTTCTTTGCTCTGAAAGCTTTTTCTGTCATGAACAAGAGTGGAATTTGGCCCAGCCAATTTAGCAAATATTGACTCAGTGAGTCAGTGTTCTCCTTAGCTTGCAGAATTATGCAACATGTCCTCCAAGTATATTTCTTTAAAAGGAAATTTATATCTGCCTGTCGTTGTGCTGTATTCCAGGGCCTTTGACTGCTGGTTGCTAATTGCACTCCTGTTTTTGCTTTAAGCTTCTGCTCATATGAATGAAATGTGCACTCGTGCAATATTCTGTTTACTTTAGCAGCCCACACTGGATATATTTTTAAAAAAGCAGGTATTAAAACCCCATATTTTATTTAGTGGTCTACTATTCAAAACCACAAAATGCCAGCTCAGAGTGAAAGCAGCTGCACTCAACAGCAACACACAGCTTGGAGCACATGGCTTAGGTAAACATGCTCTGTTCTTGACCTTTTTTCTTTTCCTCCCACTCTGTCAAGAGAGAACAGCTTTCCCATGAGCCTGCACATATACTTTCTTGGGTTTCTTCAAAGTGAGATGAGATTAACAGCTTCTTGGGAGGAGACAAGGAAAAATACCAGCCGCTGGTCCTTGCCTTAAATGACCCTCTGTTTCCAGGTTTCCTAATTTCTTTGTGTGGAAAACAGCTGTGTCAGCCAGTTCCATTTTCCTTTGAAGTTGTAAGCAGAAAACCCCCCTCACCTTCCTTCATGCTTCTATCCTCTGAATAGGTGCTTCTTAGGCAAATGAGCAAAGGAGATTTGGGAGTGCATCTGTTGCTTTAGGAGTCCGCCTACCCATGAAAACTGGAATAATGGTTCCCTTGGTTGAGTCAGCACCTGAGTGGGGCAGACAACTTCCACGGTGGGCAGTGGAAAGGAAAACCTGTCAGTCATACTAAAAATGCTGGTTTTTTTCAGTGAAGTTGGAAGTTATTCATCTTGCACTGCAGATGCTTCATGCCATTTAATGACACAATACAGTGACATATTTCTGAATTAATAACAGTCAAAATTGGAGAGAAAAGGCATATTATCCTCTGCTGGAAGTCCCAGCCCTCTAGTTGGGTTTGGGGAAGAGTTCAGTTTCTTAGGTTTCACTTGCTTTTTTTGGAAAGCAGAGGTTAGGGAAGGAAAAGGATGTTTCTTTTAAAATGTAAGTAAAGGGCTACTCCCAAAGCCAGGCTCGAGGCAGCAGGCTGTATGCCAAGACCAAGCTATATGTTATGGGATGTCTTTGTGGAATTGTCCAGGGGAGAAAATGGCAGGAGGCACCAGCCATCTTTCTTCCTACCGAGAACAGAAAAATGTGGAGGAGCGGACAAGTGTTTATTAGGTAATTTTTTAATGAAAAACACTGATTTTCACAAATCCTTTCTGTAAACCTAAGCTGTGGGGAAAACAAACATTAAGCAGTTCCAAAGGAGCAACTCAATTTTGTTGTGTTGAGCTGACTCTAAAGACCTACTCCTAAAGTATCTCTGGGCTGAGTAATTGATCCAGCTGACAATGGCCTACTAAATAACAAAGGCAATTATGTAGAACTGCAGATGGCAATGCTGTATTCCCATCTAAACTAGGGATCCTGCTTTTTCATCATCTAAACCTTATTCAGCTATGGTCAGCTGTACCAAAGAGAGATATAAAGCTACACTGCTTTGTTTTGATTGTGTCACAGATATGAAGTTTTCCTGTGAAAAGATGGGAATAAAATAGAGAGAAAAGGGTTGTATTTCCCACCAGGCCCAGGAACAGACTGTAGCAAATGATGTTCTTCACATTAGTGTGAGACACCAACCATTAAATTCTCTGGCAAGGCCCTAGAAAAATTGTAGATATGTAAAGGAAATGTTAGTCTAGTGTGAGTGATAACCATTGTTCTTGAAAGATATGTTGCCAATAAATACCTACAGACACTATGGGGTATTCAAATAACTTGTGATTATTCTTAGTACAAAAAGTGCCATTTTCTATTTCTTGCCAATGTGTATATATATGTAGATAATCTATTTTTTTAGGTTACAGTATATATTTTTAAACAAAATAAACAAAATTATGTTGTCCACTGGACTTTCTCGAGAATTTTATTTTGGTTTTGTAAGACTAAGAAGAGCAGTGGAAAAGGTCATGAGGTAAAAGATAATGGTTCAGTAAATAGCAGGAAATGAGCAATGTCTTTATACACATTTCTCTTCATTTGTAAATCCTGTGTGTTAAAAAGATGAATGCACACCCCTTTTACTGTGTTCATAACCAAAATTTATTTGCTGATATTGCTTCCAGAAACAGAATTGTCTCACTTTTGAGAAGAGGGCATTTGGATGTTGCAGTGGAAACCAGCAGAAATCATATTCT